AAAGATGATCTAACTCTCTTCAGTGGCTGTGTGTTGATCACACCTAGAAAGTGCTGAGCTCAACCGAAGCTAGCGCAATTCCCAGGGGCAACTACTCTTCAAGATATACAGCAGTCTTACTAAACTACTATTACCTACAGTTAACGCTGACTGGGGGCAGCACAAACAGGGACAGCTAGTTTTTAAAGGTAGATAAGGAAGCTCAGGGGCCGTGGTGGCTCAGAGGTTAAGCCACTGAGCTCCAGACAGAAAGGTCTGTAGGTCAGCAGTTCGAGACCCGAGTGCCGCGTGATGGAGTGAGCTCCTCCTCTGACCCCAGCTCCTGCCAACCTAGCAGTTCGAAAGCAAGAATTTGCAAGTAGATAAATAGGCACTGCTTTGGTGGGAAGGTAACAGTGTTCTGTGCACCTCTGCGTTTAGTCATGCTGGCCACATGACCACGGAGGAGTCTTCGGACAGTGCTGGCTCTTCGGCTTGGAAACAGAGATGAGCACCGCCCTGAGCAAGGAAAACCTTTGCCTTTACTTTACCTAAGGAAGCTCAAGCCTGTTGGTCGGATTTCCAGATTTGAGTTGGGGAAGTTCCTGGAGATTTGAGGAGTGGCGCCTGGGAAGGGCAGGGTTGGGAGAGGGGAGGGGCCTCAGCAGGGTATCATATCACAGAGCGGTGGCAGCGGTGGGAAGAGCACCATCAAGTCATGACCGACTTATGGCGACCCTGTAGGGGTTTCAAGGCAAGAGACGTTAGGAGATGATTTGCCATTTAACCATTTTAGATCTAATTATTTAGTTGATATTTCCAATCACAATCTTAGAGTGTCCTTTACTGCTCTGCGTTTTCAAACCATGCAAACAGCTCTTCCGGCTGGTCATTATCGTCATACTCCAACGGAACTCGGCGTCTGCGTTTGTGGATCGCCCGCAGTTGAGAATCTGCCTCATTATATTTTATCCTGTCTGCTATACAGTGATACCAGAGATAAATTTTTGGCCGGAATTTTATCTGCCTTAAATGCATACTCTGAAAATGAGAAGACTGTGTTCCTGTTAGCAGATAATAATTCCTGTGTATCTGACAGAGTTTCTCTATTCACTTTTGCAGCCCAGATTATTAGAGCTAGGGCGGTACCGAACGGGGTAGCTCCATGAATTTCTGGCTGGATCGGACTATTCTGTATTACTAACAAATTTAAATTAATTTTAACATCTGATCTTAAAGTTTTACCTGTTAACGCATTTTGTGGTTTTGTAAAATTTGTAATGGCCAATGGCTAAATACAGTAAATTCCACAACTACATTGCCCGCCTCTGCATAGCAACCCTCATCTTCGTTGGTGGTCTCCCATCCAAGTGCTAATCAGGGCTGACCCTGCTTAGATGCCAAGATCTGATGAGCCTGGGCTAGCTTAGGTCATAAAGGTGAGCAATTATCACACGAGAGGAGGGCATTGATACCACCCTGCCGAGGAGGAGATCCCAGGCTTGAAACCAGTGCTCCCTCTACGCTGTGGAGTCTTGAGAGCAAAAATTCTACTTTGTGAGCTACTGTCATTAAAGCTGTGAGTGATCAGTTTGGCTACTGCATAAATTAGTGTGCTCTGGAGCCCTCCTTCCTGAGCGAAGACAAAAATGTGTGAGCCGGAGGCTAAAAAAACTGCGAGCTAGGTCACACTAACTCAGCTTAGAGGGAACGCTGCTTGGAAACCCTCCCAACAGGCCTGCTTAGCTTCCGAGATCTGATAAGATCAGGCTAGCCTGGTTAAGTCCCCACACTTTAGAAGCCCTGGGCTGCCCCACTTGCCTATGTCGGAGTACAAGAAGAGTGCATGTATGGCTATTGAACTTTGCAATGGATGCACGCTGTAAGGGAGGCAGGGTGCTGAAAAATGTCTGCTCCTAACCTGCCTTGTTGTTCCTCAGTGCAGACATGATGACACACCCGAGCCTTCTCCCCGAAGTAGACGTTGCAGCCCTGGGCCCCCTGTTTGCTGCAGACACAGTAGATTACCTGGAAGAAACCTATGTCATCAAAGTGCAGGTAAGGAAGGGTCAACATCCAGGACCCTGCAGATCAAAACAACTCCAGATCTGCTTCCTCGGCACCACTAGTTTGCCAAGTAAGCCCGGATTCAAGGCATTTCCTCTCTCATTGCAATCCTAAACAAGAGTTACATGCTTCTAAGCCCACCAAAGGGAGGTGGAACGGTCTAGAATAGCCCCATCTCGTCAGATCTCAAAAGCTAAACTCAGTGAGTAGCTGAATGGGAGACCACCAAGGAAGACGTGGCAGATGAAGTCACTGGCAAACCGCCTGTGCTTAATCCCTTGCCTTGAAAACCCGATGGGGTCGCCATAAGTCAGCTGCGACTCGACAGCACTTTGCACACAGACGCACGCAAGTCCAGTGAGTGGGTTCCGAAGGGTGTAACTCTGCCTAGCATTGTGCTGTCAGTTCCAGCTCTACAAGGACACGTACACATATCATGGGGTGTTGCTCCCATTGTCTTCTTCATGGAAGAGATGCAGATTGCTTGGAAGTGCCTGAGGAGAGGGGGAGAACCAGACTGAGTGTCAGTTGTTGTTGTTCAGTCGCACAGTCGAGTCCAACTCTTCGCAACCCCATGGAGATTGTATCCTAGTACTGACTTTTGCACTCTCTTGTTGACTATAAAGGCCACACCATTTTTTCTATGAGATTCCTGGCCACAGTAGTAGATATAATGGTCTTCTGAGTTAAATTCGCCCATTCCTGTCCACTTTAGTTCACTGATTCCTAAGATATTGATGTTCAGTCTTGCCATCTCATTTTTGACCACGTCAAGCTTACCTTGATTCATAGATCTTACATTCCAGGTTCCTATGCAGTATTGTTCTTTGCAGCATCGGACTTTCCTTTCACCATCTGACACATCCGCAACTGAGCGTCCTTTCGGCTTTGGCCCAGCCGCTTCACTCTTTCTGGGGTTACTTGTACTTGCCCTCTGCTCTTCCTCAGTAGCATATTGGACACCTTCCGACCTGAGGGGCTCATCTTCCGGCGACATATCTTTTAGCCTTTTGATACTGTCCATGGGGTTTTCTTGGCAAAAGTACTGGAGTGGGTTGCCATTTCCTTCTCCAGGGGATCACTCTTGGTCTGAGTTCTCTGCTGTGGCCTGTCCGTCTTGGGTGGCCCTCCACGGCATAGCCCACAGCTTCATCGAACCACGCAAGCCCCCTCGCCACGACAAGGCAGTGATCCATGAGGGGGCTGAGTGTCAGAGAGACGTGTAAACGTTCTGCTGAAGGACTCGTTTCCTGGCCTGAAATGTGAGGGCTGCTTTTCATTACAGCCTTCCTTTTCTGACTACATAACAGGCTTCCAGTTTAGAGTAAGCCCTGGCCTGGGTTGCCCAGGCTAGCCTGATCTTATCAGATCTTGGAAGCTAAGCGGGGGGGGGGGGGGGGGTCAGCCCTTGTTGAGTCCACCACGGAAGTCCAGGGTTGCTATGCAGAGGCTGGCAATGGCAAACCACCTCTGTTCTTCTCTTGCCTTGAAAACCTTACAGGGTTGCCGTAAGTCAGTTGCCATTTGATGGCCTTTTCCTCCACCAGCCAGCCCCACTGCTGGACCCCCTGATGGCACCTGGTATTTTTGTCCACTGTGTGACAGAGTGTTGGACTGGATGGGCCATTGGCCTGATCCAGCATTGGCTTCTCTTATGTTCTTATGTTCTTAAATTCTTCTACAGCAGCACTGGGATTGGAACCACTGTACATCTTGCTTGAAAATTAGGGTTGCCAGCCTCCAGGTGGTGTCCGGAGTTATCCTAGAATTACAACTGATTTCCAGACTACACGGATCACTTATTTATTTAATATTTATTTGTGAGCATTTCTGTGGACTATAAGGAAGGCTGAGCGCCGAAGAATAGATTCTTTTGAACTATGGTGCTGGAGAAGACTCTTGAGAGTCCCTTGGACTGCAAGGAGATCAAATCAGTCAATCCTCAAAGAAATCAACCCTGACTGTTCCCTGGAAGGCCAGATAATGAAAATGAAGCTCAAATACTTTGGCCACCAAATGAGAAGGGAGCACTCACTGGAGAAGACCCTGATGCTGGGAAAGACTGAAGGTCAAAGAAGACGGGGACGGCAAAGGATGAGATGGTTAGACAGTGTCATAGATGCAACAAACATGAAACTGAGCAAACTTCAGAGGACGGTGGAAGACAGGAGGGCCTGGCAAGATCTTGTCCATGGGGTCGCAAAGAGTCGGACCTGACTGTGCGACTGAACAACAACAACATTTCTGTGTGCCTGTGCTTGCGTGCCTGGAAGTCATGGTGACTTCTGGTGACCCCTAGTGGAGCTGCCTTGGACGTTTCAGAGAGATGGCTTGTTATTGCCTGCCCCCGCCTCCCAACTGCTGGTATTCCAAGGAGGTCTCCCATCCAAGGACTTGCCAGGGTCGGCCATGCTTAGCTTCTGAGATCTGATGAGACCGGGCTTGCCTGGGCTATCCAGGTCAGGGCATTTACTTAATATTTATTTAAAGTATTTATTCCACTTCTGGAGAAAATAGCTGCTTTGGAAGATGGACTGCCTGGCACTATACCCTACAGAGGTCCCTCTCCCCCCCCTAAACTCCATCATCCCAGGCTCCTTCCTCCAATCTCCAGGTATTTCCAAACCCAAAGTTGCCAACTCAATGTGCAAAGCAGCCCACTGGCCATTCATTCTGGAGAAAATCCATTTTGGAAGGGAACCGTTTCATGTGAAGAAGGGCAGGTGGGAGGGAGCACCTCATCTTTTCCCCACTGCCCATGTTTTTCACTCCAAATTACTCCCACTCAAACTAGTCTACCTACAAGGAGTTCCAAAGACAGGTAGAAGAAGAAGAGGAGGAGGAGTTTGGATTTATACCCCGCCCCTCACTTGGAGTCTCAGAGCATCTTACAAACTCCTTTCCCTTCCCCTCCCCTCAACAGACACCCTGTGAGGTAGGTGGGACCGAGAGAGCTCTGAGAGAACTGTCGTTGAGAGAACAGCTCTGACAGAACTATGGCTTGTGCAAGGACATCCAGCAGCTGCAAGTGGAGGAGTGGGGAATCAAACCCGGTTCTCCCAGATTAGAGTCCACGCACTTAACCACTAGACCAAACTGGCTCTCATGATTAATTAGGGTTGCCAAGTCTGGCAAACTTACCGGTTTTCTCCCCGACGAGCTCAGCCACGCCCCCAACGTCAGCAACGCGGTGGAAATCGGGCCTCCAAAGCGAGGGTTTCCCCGCCCCCTGCCCCCATTTGGCAACCCTATGATTAATGCATGATTAAATGCATGATGAATTGGGACTCCATGGGACAAATGCATTTGAGGAGGATCTGGAGTGGGAAAATGTTTGCTGAGAAAAGGGTGAAACGCACACACGGTCTAACCCACCACTTCCCTGCACAAGAAGCTGATTTTACTCAGACAAAACAGCTATTCCCCTGTGAGAAGTTTTACCACTTAATAAAGTGACCCCCCCACGGCGGTGCCCCTCCTAATTCAATTGCTGGTGCCCGCTTCCTTCTTCAACAAAGCAAAGAGACAATCTCGTCCTTCCCCCACCCTCATTGAAAAATGACGTGCATGAAAAGAGCTCAGGTGGAATCACCTTTGTGTCTTCAGGTAGCACCCGTTTGGAAACAGCGACCTCCATCGTAAGAGGACGCCTGGCCTGGCACCTCCCAACGTTGTGTGACTGGCCCCAGGGCAGCCATTTTGTGGTGGCATCCACTACAAGTTGCTTGACTGGGCTTAAGGACCTTCCTTTCCCCCCCTCTAGGCCAGCATTGCTGAATGGATGCAGAAGACCCTGGAGATGGAGGTTAAGGAGTGGTTCAGCGAGACGGAGCCAGAAGCGGACTACCAAGGCTGCTTCCAGACCACTCTGCCCATCATTGCCATGAAGGTGAGAAGGAGCGGGCTGGGAGAGGCCCCATGTGAGCAGGGTGGGGTGGGGGGTGGAGACCTGGCTGCATCTTCTGGTACAGAAGGAAAGCTAGGGGTTCTGATAGGGTTGCCAGCCTCCAGGTGGGGCCTGGGGATCTCCCGCTTTTACAACTGATCCCCAGCTAACAGAGATCAGCTCCCCTGGAGAAAATGGCTGCTTTGGAGGGTGGACTCCATGGCATTGTGCCATCTGAGGCCCCTCCCCAAATCCCGCCCTCTCCTGGACCCACCCACCCCCAAAGTCTCCCGGTATTTTCCAGCCCAGAGCTGGCAACCCTAAGTTCTGATCCTCTTTTGTGATTTTACTTTCCCCCCTTGCCTTTCAGATGCTGGATGAGAACATCCGAGTGGCCTCCCTCATCTCTGACACCCTCCTACCGAAGGTGCGCAGCATGGCTCTGGCGGAGTTGGAGGCCTTCCTGGGCAGGTCAGTTCCCCCCCCCCCGTGCTGCCTCTTTAGTGGGGGGCCAGAAACAGAAGAGAGTGGCTGTTGTC